GGCCAGTCCCAGTTCTCTCCGAACTCCCCCAGGCCCACCTGCCTCACAACCGGCCTGTGGTGGGGAGGGGAAGGGAAAGGCAATTGTAAGCCCCTCTGAGACTCCTTCGGATAGTGAAGGGCGGGCTATAAGTCCAATCTCTCCTTCTTTTTCCCAGAAATTCGAGATGCTGGAGTTTGTCTTCTAATGGATGCCATGCAGTCTTTGTTTGGGGATCTGTCAGGGAACCGTCGAGGGACACCTGAAAGCATCCTCATCGTCAACACGTTGCCGTGGGAACGCACAGAAGTAATCTCCAAAACGGGACCGGGTGGATCTGAGACTTTAGGTAAGTCGCAGTCCCCAGATTACGTAGTGGCTAAAAGGCCAATATTTTGCCCGCACTTCTGTCGAAGGCTGGTATTTCCATTCACGTATGCAACAAACAAGAACATCTGATCGGGTTTTGTGTCTTTTCCCTCCAGCTTTGGCGACGGTTCCCAGCATGGGTTATTGCACCCTTCAGGATTCATTACCCCCACCACATCCTGTGACAGTAACCAAAACGGTGAGCTACTTTTAGGAATTTGGTCCAAAAAATCTAAGTCAAACATAGGGCCCGGGGGCTGGAAGCGGCCTGTCCAGGGCTCTTATGCGGCCCGTGAGCAATCGGTATAGAGCCAATTTGATGTAGTGGTTACGAGCGCAGAGTCTAATCTGGGAGAACCGGGTTTGATTCCCCACCCCTCCACATGCAGCTGCTGTTGTGACCTTGGGTCAGTCACAAGTTCTTTTGGAGCTGTGCTCTGACGAGCAGTCCTCGAAAGAGCTCTCTCAGCTCCACCGACCTCACAGGGTGTCTGTTGTGGGAAGGGGAAAGAAAAGGAGTTTGTAAGCCGCTCTGAGACGGCTTCGGGTAGTGAAGGGTGGGGTATAAATCCAATCTCTTCTTCTATTTTGGTCCAAGAGTCAGTTTAGTGTAGTGATTAGGAGTGCGAACTCTAATCTGGGAGAACTGGGTTTGATTCCCCACTCATCAACATTCAGCTGCTGTTGCGACCTTGGGCCAGTCACAAGTTCTTTCAGAGCTGTTCTCTGACGAGCAGTCCTCGAAAGAGCTCTCAGCCCCGCCTACCTCACAGGGTGTCTGTTGCGGGAAGGGGAAGGAGTTTGTAAGCCGCTCTGAGATCCCTTTGGGTAGTGACGGGTGGGGTATAAATCCAATCTCTTCTTCTTCTTCTGTTTTGGTCCAAGAGACAGTTCGGTGTAGTGGTTAGGAGGGCGAACTCTAATCTGGGAGAACCGGGTTTGATTCCCCACTCCTCCACATTCAGCTACTGTTGCGACCTTGGGTCAGTCACAAGTTCTCTCGGAGCTGTTCTCTGATGAGCAGTCCTCGAAAGAGCTCTCTCAGCCCCACCTACCTCACAGGGTGTCTGTGGTGGGGAGGGGAAGGGAAAGGAGTTTGTAAGCCACTCTGAGACACCTTTGGGTAGTGAAGGGCGGGGTATAAATCCAGTCTCTTCTTCTTCTGGTGCAAGCGAGGGAGTGCTGGGGGGGAGTGGAAGGAGCCACTCCATTGTGGCTTCAGCACGGCAGAACAACTTCATCTGCAGCAGTCAAGCAATGTGGGAGCGTCTGCCCAGCGCCTCACAGCTGCCTCTCCAGTCCGCCTAGGTGGGTCTTCCTTTGCACCCCCCGCCCAGCCCGTGGGACCTTGCTGTTAGGATACACCAACCCGGAGCTTACCAGCCGCTGTCCTTGATACAGTTTCTATCTCCGGTACCTGGCCTTATGTTTTATGGCACACGTGGACCGGCCCAACAAAGTGACGTTTATGTCAGTTCTGGCCCTCGTAACAAACGAACTTGACACCTCTGATCTAAGTAGTTCCCCATGCGGAAGGAAGCTGTGGGTGAAAACGTAAGAGAGCCAGTGTAGTGCTGTGGTTTAAGAGTGTCTGATTGAGAGAACTGGGTTCAAATCCCCAGTGGTGACCCATGTTCCCTCTAAGCTGTGAAGTCTTGTGAGCAAAAATTCTACTTTCTGAGCTACTGGCATTAAAGTTGTGAGCCAGCGATTTGGCTGCTGCATGAATTAACTTGCTCTGGAGCCATCCTTCCTGAGCTAAGACAAAAAATGTGTGAGCCGGAGGCTAAAAAAATATGAGCTAGCTCACCCTAACTCAGCTTAGAGGGAACACTGGTGGTGACATGGAATCTCGCTGGGGGACCTTGGGCCAGTCACACTTTCTCGACCTAACCTACCTCACAGGGTTGTTGTGGGGACAGAACAGAGGAGAGGAGAATAATGTAAGTGGTTTTGGGTCCCCGTTAGGGAGGAAAGGCATGGTTCGAATGAATAAAATAAAATAAAAGAGCCCTGCTGGAACGGACCAGGGCTCTTTTTGTAGCAGGAACTCCTTTGCATATTAGGTGACACACCCCTAATGTAGCCAATCCTCCAAGAGCTTACAGGGCTCTTCTTACAGGGGCTACTGTAAGCTCTTGGAGGATTGGCTACATCAGGGGTGTGTCGCCTAATATGCAAAGGAGTTCCTGCTACAAAAAGGGCCCAAGGCCCATCTAGTCCAGCCTTTTGTTCACACAGCGGCCGACCAGCTGTCTCCAGGAAGCCCACAGATTTGCACAGGCCCAGGGTGTCGTTTAAACAGCGCTGCGTCCTTTTTCTCCAGGCAGATGGTTCGTTTACCATGGAGAACGGCATCCTTCAAGTCCGTCAGGATACTGCGGGACGCGTGGCCTCGCTTCGCTTAATTCAGTCCGAGAGGTACTTTGAAATCCGTTCGGAACGGCATCCAGTCCTGGTTTCAGCCCGCCTGAATACAAGCGGCAGCCTAAACTGAGCAGACAAGACTGACCTTAAATGCTTGGTAGTCCGCCCTGACCTGGATAGCGCCCAGGCAAGCCCCATCTCGGAAGCTAAGCGGGGCCGACTCTGATACCAGGGCCGGGACGCAGAGGCAGGCGAATCAAGCCACCTTTCTGAAAAACGTCCGAGCCCCCAGTAGGGGTTGCCAGAAGTCACCATGGCTTCCAGACAAGTACACAAAACACACACACACGCATACACACACAAATATATATATATTTTAAACTCCTGGTAGTCCAAACTGTGTTAAGACCCTTGGTCTATAGAGGTCAGTATTGTCTACTCAGTCTGGCAGCGGCTCTCCAGGGTCTCAGGCAGAGGTCCTTCCCATCACCTCCTGCCTGGTCCTTTTAACTGAAGGTGCCGGGGATCGATCCTGGGACCTTCTGCATGCCAAGCAGAGGCTCTACCACTGAGCCAGGGACTCAGGTCAAGGTCTTTCCCATCACCTCCCATCACCTTTTAACTGGAGATGCCGGGGATCGATCCTGGGACCTTTTTCATGCCAAGCAGATGCTCCGCCACTGAGACAGGGTCTCAGGTCAAGGTCTTTCCCATCACCTTCTGCCTGGTCCTTTTAACTGGAGATGTCGGGGATGGAACCTGGGACCTTCTGCATGCCAAGCTGAGGCTCTGCCACTGAGCCAGGGTCTCAGGTCAAGGTCTTTCCCATCACCTCCCGCCTGGTCCTTTTAACTGGAGATGTCGGGGATGGAACCTGGGACCTTCTGCATGCCAAGCTGAGGCTCTGCCACTGAGCCAGGATCTCAGGTCAGGGTCTTTCCCATCACCTGCTGCCTGGTCCTTTTACCTGGAGATGCCGGGGATTGATCCTGGGACCTTCTGTATGCCAGGCAGAGGCTCTTCCACTGAGCCATGGCCTCCCCCTGTATTTGGTACAGTTCCTTGACTGTCCTGTCCTGTTCATTTCAGAGAGACGGTCCCTGAAGGCTGCTATGCCAACCAGTTTGCGCTCTTCGATGACGTTCCGTTGTATTGGGATGCCTGGGACGTGATGGATTATCACCTGGAGACCAGGTAGAGGCTGATCGCCGTAGTGACACAATTCAGTATTTCTTGGATCAATATGAACAAATCCCACCTGCCCTGGGCTTTTGGGGCAAATCAGCCAGGAAAAATGACCCCAGGGATCTTATCTTTGCACGGGTGGGTGGTTGTGGCTCATGACAGGTAGAAACATTAGACTTCATGTTTAGAGGCTAGAATACTAGATACTGGATATCATCAGTGTGGGGCAGTTATGATCAAAGATCTAATTTCCCCAAAACATCTAGATGGCTGTTGACACCTTTGGTCTAACTTGCAAAAACAATTTCATGTAATAATTATTGTATGGCAGTGTGTGTAGTATAGCCAGGAGATCCTAAGATTGTCCGGCAGCCAAAAGTTCTAGCTCTTTTAGCATTATGCACCACTAGGTGGTGAGCTAGACTTCATTTTTAGGGCTGAAAGAGTTCTGTGAGAACTGTTACCGACCCAAGGTTACCCAGCGGGCGTCATGTGGGGGAGTGGGGAATCGAAGTCGTATGTCAATTAAGAATGGCTTGCATGAGAGCCAGGGTGGTGTATTTTATTTATTTATTTATTCGATTAATGGAGGAGAGTTCTATCAGTGGCTACGAGCCATGGTGACTGAGGGGAACCTCCGCATTCAGAGTCAGTCAGCCTCCTTGCATAGCAGGCTCAGGGTGGCTTACATGAGGTTAAAATACATTAAAACACAGATAAAACACAGTGTAGTAGTTAAGAGTGTCGGACTATGATCTGGGAGACCTGGGTCCAAATCCCCACTCATGCCATGGAAGCTCGCTGGGTGACCTTGGGCCAGTCACACTCTCTCAGTCTAACCTACCTCGCAGGGTTGTTGTGAGGATAAAACAGAGGCAGGGAGACCGAAGTAAGCCACTTTGGGTCCCCACTGGGGAGAAACGTGGGGTAGAAATGAATTAAATAATATATGAAGTTGTGGTTTGTGTCTTCAGTCATGAGGACCAGAAACTTGGTGTTCTTACAACAGAACCAGCCTCGTCCTCCTGCTTGTGAAATATTTCCTGGCAATTCTCTCTTTTAGGAAGCCTGTCACACAACTCCTGAGTCCCTTGGAAGTCGTCCAGCCAGGGGGATTACGGGGCAGTGTGAAATTCTCCCTGCGGATCAGCGAGAAGAGCACACTCACTCAAGAGGTCATCCTGGATGCAGCGTGCCCCGTCGTCCGTTTCCATACTCAGGTTGGAGGAGGCCCACCCGCAAACAGATGGGACACTGCAGAGCTGGGAAAAGTACAGAGGAGGGCAACCCCCTGGCAGAGGAAAGGCAGAGGAGTCTGGGACTTTTCTGTTTAGAACAGAGAAGACGAAGGAGGGGGACATGATAGACGCTTATAAAATGACACATGGGGTGGAGAGAGTGGACAAAGAGAACTTTTTTCTCCTGCTCCCACAATACTAGAACCCGAGGGCATCCAATCAACATAAGAACATAAGAGAGGCCAATGTTGGATCAGGCGAAAGGTCCATCCAGTCCAATACTCTGTGTCACACAGTGGCCAGAAAACACCAAGTGCCATCAGGAGGTCCAGCAGTGGGGCCAGGACATTAGAAGCCATCCCACTGTTGACCCCACCCCCCAAGCACCAAGATGACAGAGCATCCCTTGCCCCAGAGCCCCTAGCTATACCTTGTGGCTAATAGCCACCGATGGACCTCTGCTCCATATGCTTATCTAATTCCCTTTTGAAGCCGTCCATGCTTGTAGCCGCCACCACCTCCTGTGGCAGTGAATTCCAAGTGTTAATCACTCTTTGGGTGAAGAAGGACTTCTTTTTATCCATTCTAACCTGACTGCTCAGCAATTTCATTGAGTGCCCACGAGTTCTTGTACTGTGAGAAAGGGAGAAAAGTACCTCTTTCTCTACCTGCTCTTTCCCATGCATAATCTTATAAACCTCGATCATGTCACCCCTCAGTCGTCGTTTCTCCAAGCTAAAGAGCCCTAAGCGCCTTAACCTTTCCTCATAGTCCCTGTCCCCCTCCCACAACTCTCGGTCCCTCCTCTCGCCATCTGCAGGTCGATTGGAACGAAGCTCACAGATTCCTCAAGGTGGAATTCCCAGCCAAGGTTCGGAGCCCCAACGCGACGTACGAGATCCAGTTCGGCCACCTGCAGAGACCAACACACTGGAACACGTCCTGGGATTGGGCCCGGTTTGAGGTGAGCGTCTGGTTGCTCCTCTCGTGTCACAGGCGTCCCCTTCTGGGGCGACCCGACAACTCTCGAGTTTAGTTCTGACATCCATTCAGATTGAGAGCCGACCTCGTCTGTTGTCGCTTCCTTTCGAGGTGTGGAGCCACAAGTGGATGGACCTGTCAGAACACGGGTTCGGGTTGGCCCTGATGAACGACTGCAAATACGGATGCTCGGTCCGCGGCCACGTGATGAGCCTCTCATTGTGAGTCGGGAAGGAACGGGCTGTCGGGAGGGAAGAGGTGGCGTCCCCGTTCTCCAGAATCCAGTGTGTTTGTGGCTCTGGACGGAGCCCACGAACGCAAGCCTGTTGTTGTATCCTGGTGATGCACAAACACTGTGTAAGTTATTCATTTATTACAACATATATATCCCACCTTTCCTCATAGGTTCAAGGCAGGTTACGACAATAGTGAAACCATCCCCAACTAAAACCAAAAGTAAAACAGCAAACCCCAAATCTCCCCTCCACATCTTAAAAGAACCCCGTCAAACAAAGGAGAAGAGAAGAGATTGGATGTATACCCTGCCTTCACTACCCGAAGGAGTCTCAGAGTGGCTTACAGTTCTCTCAGAGCTCTCTCAGTCCCACCTACCTCACAGGGTATCTGTTGTGGGGAGAGGAAGGGAAAGGAGATTGTAAGCCGCTCTGAGACTCTGAGTGAAGGTTGGGATATACAACCAACTCTTCTTCTTGGCATGCAGAAGGTCTCAGGTTCAATCCCCAGCATCTCCAGTTTAAAGGATCAGATAGGCGGTGATGGGAAAGACTTCAATTTGGGATCCTGGCTCAATCCCTACCTCTCCAGTTAAAAGGGCCAGGCAGGAGGTGATGGGAAAGACCTTGACCTGAGACCCTGGCTCAGTGGTAGAGCATCTGCTTGGCATGCAGAAGGTCCCAGGTCCAATCCCCAGCATCTCCAGTTTAAAGGATCAGGTTGGAGGTGGTGTGAAAGACCCCTGCCTGAGTCCCTGGCTCAATGGTAGAGTATCTCCTCGGCATGCAGAAGGTCCCAGGTCCAATCCCCAGCATCTCCAGTTTAAAGGATCAGGTTGGAGGTGGTGTGAAAGACCCCTGCCTGAGTCCCTGGCTCAATGGTAGAGTATCTCCTCGGCATGCAGAAGGTCCCAGGTCCAATCCCCAGCATCTCCAGTTTAAAGGATCAGATAGGCGGTGATGGGAAAGACTTCAATTTGGGATCCTGGTTCAATCCCTGCCTCTCCAGTTAAAAGGGCCAGGCAGGAGGTGATGGGAAAGACCTTGACCTGAGACCCTGGCTCAGTGGTAGAGCATCTGCTTGGCATGCAGCAGGTCCCAGGATCAATCCCTGGCATCTCCAGTTTAAAGGATCAGGTTGGAGGTGGTGTGAAAGACCCCTGCCTGAGTCCCTGGCTCAATGGTAGAGTATCTCCTCGGCATGCAGAAGGTCCCAGGTTCAATCCCGGGCATCTCCAGTCAAATGGACCAGGCAGGAGGTGATGGGAAAGACCTCCGCCTGAGACCCCGGAGAGCTGCTGCCAGTCTGAGTAGACTTTGATGGACTGAGGGTTTGATTCAGTAGAAGGCAGCTTCCTGTGCTCAACTGTAGAAGTCGGAAATGGGTGTGGACTCTCCCGACCGCAGTCTCAGATTTCTCTTTTTTACAAAACGTTTCTGGTCCTTACGGAGATAGGGATGTTGGTATTTATTACTTTAAATCTCATTTTCACTCTCTGTGCTGTTTAATGCCACTAGCAGCCTCCAGAGCCCGTGGGATGTCAGGCAAGCCGCTCCCCCTCCAGCCTCAGTTCTCCTGTCTGATATATGGGGATAACATTAGTAAGGTTTGCCACAGTGTCTGCATGAAACCTTTTGAACTGTAGCAGCACTATACAAATGCTCAACGTGGCCGTTTTAAGAACAGCAGAGTGCCGTACAAACAAATGGTTTCCCCCGTTCCTCTTGCCAAGGTTAAGGGCACCAAAGTCACCTGACTCCACTGCCGATATCGGATGCCACCAGTTTACCTATGCAGCGATGCCTCATATGGGTGAGTGTTATGGAATTTTACATGTATCTTTTTTTAAAAATTATATTTATTAAATTTTCATGCTTTATAGACAAACAAACACATAAATCACAACAAACATATCCTTTCTAGATACATCACATTGCCCAAGAAATATTATAATTACCACATAAAATCCTACTTTAGTCCTTACTGTCTCACACTGTAACACTCCTCTTTCTCACCACATATTTTACACAGATTATTCCATCCATATTACATTGCTTCCTTTCCTTATCTGAACCTCAATACTCCTTTTTATAAGTTCATAAGGAAATGTCTGATGCCATCAAAACCACTCAAAGACCATCTCGTTTACAGAAAGCACTTTATTATTGTTATTATTCATGATTTTATTGTTTTATCTGGTTTTATGTATGGGCTTACGCCCCTTGTAAGCCGCCCTGAGCCTGCTTGCGGGGAGGGCGGGGTAAAAATGCCTAAATAAATAAATAAATAAATGGGAGCTGGACAGGAGGCGATCTCCTCGTCACATTACCACGGGAGCCTGGTTTGCAAATGTAAATCTTGCTGCAGCCACACCCCCTCTGCCATCTCTTGTGCAGGTTCCTTCCAGGAGGCCGGGGTAATCCGACAGGCTTACAGCCTGAACCTCCCCCTTCACACGGTGCCTGGAGCCTCAGCGCCGTGTCCGGCGTGGAGTGCGTTCTCTGTGGAATCTCCAGCTGTCGTTCTGGAAACTGTCAAGCAGGTACTTCGTTTCATTTGACTTTGTTTATATGCCGTAGTACATATACATAGTACATAGGAGCTGCGGTGGCTCAAGTGGTTAAGACGCTGAACTGCAGGCTGTGGAAGGTCGGTCGTTCGGCAGTTCGAGACCCGAGTGCGCCGCATGACGGAGTGAGCTCCTGTCTCTAGTTCCAGCTCCTGCCAACCGAGCAGTTCAAAAGCAAGACATTGCAAGTAGATAAATAGGTACCACTTCGGTGGGAAGGTAACAGCGTTCCGTGCGCCTCGGTGTTCACTCGTGCCGGCCACACGACCACGGAAACGTCTTCGGACAGCGCTGGCTCTTCGGCTTTGAAACGGAGATGAGCACCGCAACCCTAGAGTCGCTTTTGAACAAGGGAACCTTTACCTTTTTACATATACATATACATACAAATACAGTTGTTAAGCTCGACTCATTACTTGCATACGTTTAATTATCTTAGTAGGAAACATTCTACAATGAAAAACAACAACAGAAGATCACGAGGTCCCGGATGTATTACATCCCTCCTTGTGTCCTAAAAGACACCTCTCTCCACGAGTAAAAAAATGGTTAAGCTTCTCCAGGTCAGTTCATTCTAATGGGAAGCCACTAGAATGGGGGTGTCAAACATGAGGTCCGGGAGCCGGAGGTGGCCCATCCGTGTCAGGCTCTTATGCAAACTTCAGTCTCAACAACACTCTCTTTTCAGTGATTTGTATATTGAGATGTAAAGATGCTGCAAGCGAAGGCATTCTTGTGTCAGAACTGCAAGGCACCAACCAGAAAGTTATACCCAATTCAAACAAGCTCTCCCCAAAAGCTCGGCCAATCACACAGTTCATTCGGCCCACCTAAGTGAGTGCGCATTCACATACCCCCCACCCCCCCGAACCTAAAATACTTATGTAAGACAGGCCAGCGAGCAGAAAGGCACCAAAGTCATTCAGTGACTTCCCATCCCATGGGAAGCACCCTTAGGAAAACAGTTACTAAGCAACGAAGCTAAGCAGGCACACACACTCACACAACTTCCCCCCCCCCCACTACCCAAATGCAGAAGCAACACAGGCCTAAAGATACATAACAGAAAAGCATGAATAAAACATGGCAAACGAAGACTCGAGTTCGACAGTCCGGGGCTCTTACCCGGCCCGCAAGAAACTGGTATGGATGGAAACGTAAGGTACTCCTTCTTTTATGGTATCCCTTGGAAAAAAGCCTAGTCTTGCATATGATTAAATACATTTACTGGGGCTTTTGTGGGCTCCCCACTAAATCAATTGCTTGCACTGCTAGGAATCCAACTGCTTTTGTTTGTATCTTGGGTAACGAAATAATATTGTTAATCAGCTTTGCCTGTGTCCTTTATAAAGTTTATATCTCTGGTACCTGGTGTTACAGTTTATGGTACAAGTGGCCCGGCCCGACAAACTGACATTTATGTCAGATCTGGCCCTCGTAACAAATGAGTTTGACACCTCTTGCACTAGAAGTTCTTACAAAACGAGCATGTAGCTTAATGTTTTTAGTAAGAGGAAAAACTTGCAGTCCAAGGTGAAAGCGGCTAACAAACGCCTGCTGTCATGACCCCAGGGGGTTGCCCCCTTCTGCTGCCACCACCCTGGACTTAGGTACCTTCCCAAGCCCCTTCAAATTGCCCCTTTGTAGCCGAGAAACGTAAGCGTGATGACCAGGCAGAGAAACAATTAAACAAAAAGGGTTCATTATTACAGTACTGGGCAGGGGAAAAACAAGACAAGACAAGGTGCTTTAAAATACATAACAGTGTTGAAAGGCCAAAAGAAACACAAAGCGAACACAGCTACCGATTACTCCTTAACTGTTACTACTCAAGCCCTATAGCTCTCTTATGCCAGGCTTCTGCCTGTACTCAATGTCCCCAGTGAGGGATATTTCTCCCACACCAGTCTCCTCAGCTTAGCTCTGTGAGAGGCAAAGACCGCAGAGAGGAAAAGGACACCGTTTAACCGACCACCAAGCACATAAACAATCTCCTCAGAGAATTCCTGGTCCCCCATTGGTTACAGCCGGCGCAAAGCCTTGTGGGGATTGTAGGCTGTCTGCTTCCCACTCCCAGGCAGGTCTCTTAGGCCTCACTAGGCCCAGTCCTGCACAGATCTCCAGAGGCCTACACAGATCACGACACCCGCTAACAAATGCCGGGACCTCGTGATCTATTCACACAGATCTGGAAAGCTTCACTGGACATTTTTCTCTCTCCCTTGTTCTAGCTAACATTTCGACAGAGATCGTTGCTGTTTTTCATTGTAGAATGTTTTGTACTAGGATAACTAAATGTACACAAGTATGAGTCGAACTTAACTGTATTTGTTTGTTTATATGCCACCAGCTCAGCAGAGAAGGAGAGTCTCCTGTACTGCAGGTAGAGTTAGGTCTAGGTACAGGTACATTCTATCGCATTGGCTAGAAAGCAAATCTGCTGGTGTGACCTTGGGTCAGTCACAAGTTTTCTCAGAGCTGTTCTCTCAAGAGCAGTCCTCAAAAGAGCTCTCTCAGCCCCACCTACCTCACAGGGTGTCTGTTGTGGGGAGGGGAAGGGAAAGGAGATTGTGAGCTGCTCTGAGACTCCTACAGGTGGTGAAGGGCGGGGTATAAATCCAATCTCTTCTTATTCTTCCACATGCTGTGTGATTCTCTCACCTGATTTCCTTCTCAAAAGCGAGATTCTAGACTAGGTATCCCCAACTTTTTGAGCCTGCAAGCACCTTTGGAATTCCAACAGGGTGGTGGGCACAGCCACAGAACAGCTGCCAGAAACCGAATGCCTCAGGAGGCGGAGCCAGCCACAAAATGGCTGCCGCGGCTTACCTGCAGTCACACAGTGGAGGTCCTTGAGCTTCCAAAGCAACATTTTAAAAAATCTGCACAGGCAATCAGACCTCCAGCAGCCAATCAGAAGCCCTGCTGGGCAAAAGCTCCACCTGACCCCGCCCACTTTCTATGCAGGATCAGCCCTAGAGCATCCCTGACAAGGGTTTGTCCAGCCACTGCTTGAAGATTGCCAGTGAGGAGGAGCTCACCTCCTCCCTAGGCAGCCCACTCCACTGTTGCACAGCTCTTCCTGTGAAAAAGTTATTCCAAATAGCCATCCAGTAACTTCCCACCCTTAATTTAAACCCATTCTTGCGAGTCCTCTCCTCTGCTGCCAACAGGGACAGCTCCCTGTCCTGTTCTAAGTGACAGCCTTAATTTAAACCCATTCTTGCGAGTCCTCTCCTCTGCTGCCAACAGGAACAGCTCCCTGTCCTGTTCTAAGTGACAGCCCTTCCCATACTTCAAGAGAGCAATCCTGTCCCCTCCAGCCTCCTCTTCTCCAGACTAAATATTCCCAAGTCCCTCAGCCTTTCCTCACAGGGCTCGGTCTCCAGGCCCTTGATCATCCTTGTGGCTTTCCTCTGCACCCGCTCCATTTTGTCCGCATCCTTTTCAAAAGAAGGCCTCCAGAACGGCACACAATACTCCAGTTGCGGCCTGACCAACGTGAGGTTGTACAGTGTACAGTGGGACTATGAGATCTTGTGGTTTGGATGTTATGCCTCTGTTGAGACACCCCAAGATCGCATTAGCCTTTTTTGCCACCGCATCACACCGGCAGCTCATAGACAGCAATGTACTGAATCTAAGGACACTTCTTCTTCCCCTCCGTCCAGGCTGAGGACAGGCCAGACGCGCTGGTCATCCGGCTGTACGAGTCTCACGGCAGTACCGTTGAGAGCTGGATCCGGACGTCACTCTCAGTCCAAGAGGCAGTCTTGTGAGTGTGCATCGTGGCGGTGTCGGGGAAGCTCCGACAGTGCCTTCCGCCAAGAGTTCCACTCCTCATCCTCTCGTCTTCTCCTCTCTTAGGTGCGACCTCCTGGAACAGCCCCATCCCGGGCGTCCTCTGCCGCTGGAGGAGCGTGGGGTGAAGCTTTCCTTCACGCCGTTCCAAGTGCAGTCCGTCCTGCTGATCTTGAAACAGCGAGACAGCTCCTGAGGCGGTGGCTAACCCCCATTCCCTCCTCTCCGTTACTTTGGTAGTGGACGGAGGAGGGTCTAGAATTAAGGGACTAGGCGCAGATTCAGAGAAACCACTTTCATGTCGGGGAAAAAGGTGCAGGAAGTCGGTGGGAGTGCCAGGGAAACAGCAGTGGGCACCAGAGCACTGCAGGGTGGAGGTTTTTGCACAGCCTTCGGTTCTGTCCGGCCGGTGTGCGCAAAGCAAGTGAACCACGTGGTTGCGGCTCAACCCACCCCTAAGGAGGACTTCCCCTCCCTCGTGTAACGTAGGCCCCGGAAGCCAGTTAGCTTTGGCAGTGGCCCATTTCGCAGCAATAAAGACTTTAAAGAAAACGTGGGCAGTCGTGTAAAGTGGTTATCTATGTTTATACGTGGGCGAAGAGCGGCAGCTGTAAGTGGTAGAACAGAGTCTGTTCAGCAGACTAAATAACCCAATGTAAGAAGAGCCCTGCTGGATCAGACCAGTGGTCCATCTAAGTCTAGCAACCTGTCTTACACAGTGGCCAACCAGTTCGGGCCAACAACAGGGCACAGAGGCCGAGGCCTTCCCCTGATAAGAACATCGGAAG